AGCGTCTTGGATTTCATCTCGAAAGAACGCTTCAAGGCTGCTTCCTCCTTGTGTGGGTGGGATGGATACAAAGGCCATCCTTATGGTGAATATCCCATTGCATCAAGAGCGAGCTGGACTTAGGCCGTAGTCTGGATATTGAACTTGAGTCAATTGTCTGGATTTCATTCCTATCATAAATGTCAAGCAGTGATGAGTGAGTCATCTAAGGACTATTTTGTTTAATGGTAAGATTCAGGCTAATTACCCCTTTGAGGAGCTTTCTCTTCCAGAAGAGAACATGCAAAATACTCTTGCACAACTAAGGGCGAGAAGGATTTGGTTTGCTTCTTTGGGGGTCCGGATGAGTTTGTACTATTGCAGGAGAACTTTCTCACAGTCGGCCACCGACTGTGACAGAGATGGGTGCAAGTGGGATTGGACAGATTACATCACTGAGAACATCAGCCACTGCTGCAAGCAATGGTTGAATACGTACAGGTTCTTCACCAAGGCCATGTTCTCCTGTCCTCAGCGTCATCACAAATGCTCGGCCCAATGACCTCAGTTCACAGACAAAGGTGCCGGAAGCTCAGGTGGAAGCAACTCAAACAGCCACACAGAGCTAGAAAGTGTTGGAGACAGATTTGAATCCATCTTTCTCCACTCCCCAACTGCACCCTTCTTCCCACAAAATGATGCCCATCAAGATCACTGTGGGGTTTGGGTAGCAAGAGAAGATGTTTGATGAACCAGATTCCACCCCCAAAATGTGTGGGGACAGAAGAATCTGGTAAGGCTTAGTGACGCGGAAATGGATCTTTTGCCCATAAGACCATGACCGGTGGATTACTTCATACCTTTATTTGGATTGTGGCATGAATGAGGAGAGGATAATTACAAGTACTTTAACTTTGATATCATTGGCTTTAAAGATACCTCTTTTAGGGCACATACGCTACAAATATTAACATCAACTTTTCTTACTCATTCAAATGCTGTCCTTCAGAGCTAGACTAAGTACCCTTATATTTGTAAATCAGCAATTTCTGAATTTACCTGATCCAACAGTGGTTCGATTTTGTTTTGTTTTATAGCATGCAGATTCTTGGGTCTCTTTTATAGCATGCAGATTTGGGTACAAAAGGTTTAAGGCATAGGAGTTTATGGTTTTAAAAAACAACATTATAGCATTCTCTTGATTATTAGCTATGTTTGGTAGTGTTGTGTTCAGGCTATTAGACAAGTATGTAAAAGTAATGCCTGTGGTGGCATATTGCTGACCCTGGGTGTTATGATTCACCTAAGTTAGGATGTGAGAAACCGTTGTCCTGTACTGGGTTACCCACTGGGCTGCTAATCACAAGGTCAGCAATTCTAAACCGCCAGCGGCACTCTGGGAGAAAGATAAGGCTTTCTAGTTCTGATGAGATTCACAGTCTTGGAAAATCCCACTGGCAATACTGCTCTGTCCTACAAGGTTGCTCTCAGTTGGAATTGACTCAATAGCAGTGAATGTTTATTTTAACTGATCACTTCAGGTTCCTAAAAATGCACACATATATATGTGCATATTTAACAGGTATAGATAATACATATAAATTTCCATGTATATAAATATAGACATATTCAGTGAGGTATGTTTATATAAGAGGACTTCAAAAAGTTAATGGACAAATTCAATCATCTTTTTAAAAATAGTTTTATTGAGATATAGTTAGCATATTATAAAATTCAATAATTCAATCATATTGCCGGTTGTGCATTCACTACCGTAATCAACTTTGGAACGTTTTCTTTCATTCTTGTACTCATTGATATTGACTTCCATCCCCCCCCACCTGCCCCCAGGTAATTATCAATTATCCCCCCCCACCTCCCCCCTCAATGCCCCCAGGAAATTATCAATTCAGTTACTGCCCTCATAAATTCACCCATTGTGACTTTCTTGTACAGAAAAGCACACAAAGACAAAAGGAAGAACAAAAGGTCCAGCAGTAATGACCAAATACAGCAGAGAAAAATTAAATAAAAAACTGGGCTGAAAATATTTGAAAACCAGACTAAATTAAAAGTGGTTCAAGAGGGTGGGTGGGGGTGGGGGTATAAAAAAATGGTTCAAAAGATAGTGCTTAGGACAAAATGTATATTCCAGACTAAGTATGGCTGCAAATATCCACTCTACAATGCTCTTTGACTAATATGAAGTGCCATTCCTAGACTATGGCCAATGGGGATTCATAGGAAACTCAATCCCTTTCCTCAACAGTGTTTTAAATTCTATGCCATTGACTAAACTAATAGTACTATCATAGAATTACCTTATGCCCCATGGGGATGACTTATGATGTACTCCAATAAAATAGTAAAGATATCTTTAAAGTGAACCAGGGACATAAATAAACCATAGAGATGTGAGTAGATTTTGAGCTCTCACTTGATCGCAGTCCTAATATAAGAACAATTCATTACGGTGACATGGCCCTGCTCAGTGTGTGGTCTTATGAGGAGATCATTGACATACGGTGCTATTGTAAAGTGTTTTAAAGATATCAGATGGAACCCCGCTATTAGGAAAAATAAGGTCTGGGGTCTTAAAGACTTGTCTTAAAACAATTAGCCATCTAAGCGAGGAGTCAGAGGAAGCGCACCAGCCTGATTGAGCCAAAGATTGGAATTAATAAAATCCAAACCCAGAGGAGGGAATGCAACCAGAGCCTCCTCTCAACACTCGCATGCAGAATGTTAAGAATGATGAGTGGTTGTTGGGCGCCCTGGAGTCTGTTCAGACTGATAGCAACCCCGTGTGCTAGGGCACCATTCAGATTGATAGCAACCCCGTGTGCTAGGGCACCATTCAGATTGATAGCAACCCCGTGTGCTAGGGCACCATTCAGACTCATAGCAACCCCGTGTGCTAGGGCACCATTCAGACTCATAGCAACCCCGTGTGCTAGGGCACCATTCAGACTCATAGCAGCCCCATGTACTAGGTCACCATTCAGACTCATAGCAACCCCGTGTGATAAGGTGCTGTTCAGACTCATAGCAACCCTGTGTGCTAGGGCAACATTCAGACTGATAGCAACCCTGTGTGCTAGGGCAACACTCAGACTCATAGCAGCCCCGTGTGCTAGGGCACGGAACACTGCCTGGGCCTTCACCGGGTTCACTGTTGTTCTTATGCTTGAGCCCCTGGTGGCAGTCACTGTGTCACTGATATAGATGCTAATATCATTGATAATATCAATAATGTCAAAGCCTTGGTGACACAACAGTAAGATGGTGTGAGCAGTTCAAACCCACCAGCACCTCTGCAGGAGAAAAGCCCTGGTGATTTGCCTGCATAAAGATGAAAGCCCACCCTCCCCAGCCCGCTTCATGGCAGTCTGCCCTCACGGACTGATTCGGGAGCCCAGTGCACAGACCCCAGCGGGGCAGTTACTTATGTAACTTTGTCATCCACCAAACTTGATTGTAAGTGAAACAAACTAGCAAAGCTGCCCCCCAAACAAAAAAACACACACCCCCAAACCCAAATCACTTTACGACCTAGAAAATCCTAAGTAGCAGTTATACTCCATCCTATAGGATCATTATGCATGGCAATTGACTTGATGGTATCTAACAACATGATATAGATTTGTGTACCTGTATACAAACAACTCCACATCTCGGTGGTTTAGTGCAACAGAAGTTTGCTGCTTCGCCATAATCCAGGGCTGTCAGCAAGCGAAGGTGGGAGAGGAGGGAAAGCTAGTCTCTACTTCACACATGACTTAGCTACTCAGGCTTCTTCCATTTAGGACACTGTCATCTTCCACATAGGGTCCCTCAAGAAAGGGGAGGGTCACAATGGGAGATTGTTATGACCCAGAACTGGAACTAGCCCCTTTTCATTGGCCAGAACTCCTCCATGTGCCCCCAGCATAGTCCTGAGGAGACTGGTTAATGTAGTTGAACAGTGGTGCATCCAGGCAGGAGCAGAAGGCACCAGCACCATCAGCCTCATCTGGTTAATGACCTACAGGCACTGTGAGGGGTCCTGGCCCTCTGCTGTCCCTGAACACTCTCCTTTCTGGTCTCTTTATGCACCTCTAATATCCTCTCTCACACTCACACGTCGTCTCTTTTGGCCAGTCTCCTCTTACTCTGTTTGATGGACTACCTGGAGCTGGAGGGAGAGGGAAGGTCAAAGAGGAGATAGATTTTCATAAGCAAGATTCGTGAGAAGAATCATTGACTCGTGGCATGATGTAAGAGGAGGTGGTATCTGGAAAAACTTGGTGAACCTCTTGTAAAATTCCAAACGGAGATCCTTTCTCATATCCTTCACCGCCTTAGAAAGAGCAGCAGCCACAAATAAAACCACGGGAGCCGTTGAAGTGTTAGTCGTTCTGAACGCTCACATGCAACATCACAGACACACTTGAAGATATGTTCATAGACGCCATCATTTGCTTCCTACCCCAAACTCTTCGAACCCAGAATGGGGACCAAACGCGTCTCCATTACAGGCCGGTGATGACGACACACGTTCCGTACACCTGCGCCACTTCATCAAGCTTCTCTAGAGAATCCCAGAGTTTTTGATGGTGCGGTCTTCTTAATTTGTCACACAGACACCTGGGACGAATCCCTAGCCCAGAGTCTTTCAGGTCATGTGACACACCAATTCGTCTTTCTGCCGTGTCACTAACTCCCGGCCGTGGCTACCCTTTCTCATTTGTTATGCTGAGTCTAATACAAACACTTCATGGGAAGGAGTTTCCCACATGAGCTTGTAAGTGGCACTTCTCACAACGACAGTTCGTGCAGTGGACAGTGTCATGGAGCCAAGGGACGCGGGAGCCTGGCCTAGAACAATCCCCAGGAAGAGCGGGAAACCCGTGGCTCCTTGGTAGTCTAGGGCATGTGGCAGGGCTTCCCCTGGAATATGGCAAGGGATTAAGCGAACCTATTCGGGAAGCCATATCAATCAAACGCCTCTGTGGTTAACACACTGTGTTCTATTTCCCCAGGGCTTTCCCGGAAAGGAAGGGTCCTCCGGCCCTCCCGGCCCACCAGGCCCAATCGTAAGTATCACCAGAAACGACTGGGAGGCACTTGGTGTGAGAGCGTTTTGTTTCTTTGGAGAGACTTTTCTTGGAAGGCCTTTACCTGGGCTGCCATCTTTGCTTAAGTGAAACAGCTCAGGACAGAGCTCTCCCGAAAACATCCTGCAGGAATACTGTGCAATAATATGGTTTGATGACTCTTGTCTCTGAGCCGCTTGGCACCTGACCAAGAATATAGAACAAAGTAATGTCTTCCCTCCTCGGTGGGGAGTCGGGAGTGGGACAGAGAGTGGAGTCCTGATGTCTGGTGGAGGTGGGCGTTGGCGAAAGGGAAGCCATCACCATGTTTGTTGCTTCTGCTTGAGTGACAGCTGACACCAATGAGCATGTGCGCATCCTCACCTTTGGGTCATTCGTCTGCCTTTCTATCAGGGTATTCCTGGAGCTCCTGGAGCCCCCGGAGTCTCGGGAAGCGTGGGACCTCGAGGCGCCTTGGGACCACCTGTGAGTATACAGAAGCAGCCAGGGAGGACAAGGGTCCACTCACCAGATATCTTCCTGTGTTTAAATTGACCCGCATCTCTGCCTGGCAGAATCATTCGTTCAGTATTAGAATCTGTGGGAATCCTTAAAGGAAACCAGAGAAGCTTCTGAGATCAAGTTGAAGACCATACTGTGCATGTATTGTAGCTCGAGATCAATGCTCCCAGCAGGGAACAATCAGTTGTGCTTCTGCTTAGCTGTATCTCTCTGACTTGTTCTTCAGTATTTGGCTATGTAAACTCTCTGCTTTCTGGCCAGGACTGGGTGCAATAGCGCTGTCTAAATCAGGTCTAGCTCCCACTGTTGACTACAGCACAGACTTGAGAAATTCAGTCTTTACCAGGAGTGGGAATTGATTTTTCTTTTCTATGTTCTACAAGAAAGCCAGAATTCCCCTGATAAAACACATACTCACTGAGCTGACTGACTAGTAGTGTACATGTAAGTGTGATGAGTGGAAGGAATGATCATTCTTGTGCTTCTTATCGCTTAAGTTGGTGTTTAAATGTGATTAATGGGGAGTGGGTAGGGCAAAAGAGGGAGAAACTCATGGCTTCTAAGGCAGGATTTGGCACCTCCGGTGTCTTTGCGTGTTGTAATTATGAGTTGGGATTCTGATATTACTATGATATACTCAATCTACATCCATCATCTAAAATACCTTAAATGTGAAACCATTCGCCCTCCTACAAACATGCCAAGAATTCCTGGAGCAGTGACCTTGAAGGGGTCATGGTGAGGGCCAAATGGATTTGACTTCAGTGGACAGCTGCTGTCACAAATTGCCATCCTCTTCATCACTTAGAACAGGGCAGCTTTTTATTTTATTTATTTATTTTTTTTGATGGTATAATTTCTTTTTTATTTATATTCACACTTTAAATGAAAGTTAAGACTACTGTGCTTATTTATATGATTTTTAAAGCACAGGTTTGAATTATATATATAGTTATATATGATTTTTTTAAATCAATTTATTGGGGCTCATACAATTCATCACAATACATAGATCAATTGTGTAGAGCACATCTATACATTTGTTGCCCTCATCATTCCCAAAATTCGCTTTCCTCTTGGGTTCCCGGAATCAGCTCATTGTACATTTCTGGAGGTCAAAAGTCTGACGTGAGTGTCCTTGGCCTAAACTTAACATGTTACCTAGTTCTTTTTGGAGGCTTTAGACGAAAATCCACTTCCTGGTCTTTTCCTTCTTCTAGAGCCTTCCCGTTTCTTGGCTCTTGATCCACTTCACTTCCGTCTTCCAACTCAGCAATGTGGGACCTGTGGCCATTCTTTCAGCGTCACACTGCCCTCTGGCCACAGCTGGGAAAGGACCTTGGCTTTTGGGGACCCATGCAATTCCACTCAGGCCACCAGATAAGTTTAGAGACTCTCCCCATCTAAAGATCTAAACTAAACCGTGTTTTCCCAGAGATTCTTCTTGCTCCTGGAGTTAGTGTACGCTCATGTTATAGGGAGTAAGCCATGGGCATTTTCCTGGTGCCCAACCACAGTGAACCAACCCTAACGAGACCCCTTGGTTTTCCGTCAGAAAGACACTTCTCTTGCTTGCCCGTATCATCTCGTTACTCTTTCTTCTGGAAACCCGCTTCCATCAAGCGTCCCACCCCCAGAGCCCTTTCCCTCGGCTGTGCTTCTCATGTTCAGAGATGCACGCAAGGTATGTGCATCGAGGAATGTGTCCAGATCTTAAGTAACTACGTTCTAAGTAACTACGTACTAAGACGCATCCAAGTAAGTGCTGTCTTAGTGATCTCTGTACAAAGAGCTATCCTGGTTTCGGCTGTGCTGTCATTGTTCAAGACCCTGTCAGACCTCCTCTTTGGGGATAAGAGGAGTAGTGGACTCACAGAAGACAATCTGATGGTTTTAAAATCTGAAAAACCAAGTGTGATCCTGCACAGAGAAACATACCCTGACACCTGCATGGGCAAGCACGCGCATAAGGAAGGTGTGTGCGTGTCCGTATTCACTCTCGGTCTCTCTTACCTCCACAGTCCTCTCATTGGAAACTCAACGCTTCATTCAATTCTGGGCTAGTCTTCATTAAGAAACCCTGAACTCACTGCCAGAGTGTCGTTTCTGACTCAAGGTGCCCCTATAGGCCATGGTAGATGTGTCCCTTAGGTTTCTGAGACTATAAAGCTTTAAGGGAGTAAAAAGCCTCATCTTTCTCCCATGGAGTGGCTCGTGGTTTCCAACTGCTAATAGCGCACTTGTAACTGCTGCATTACCAGGGCTCACTAGGAAAGAGCCAGGAAAACACACTCACTCTGGGGCTAGTTCTCAGGCTGTTTCCTAAAAGATGCTCTGGGAAGAAGAGTTTCAGAATGTGCTCAGTTGGGTCTAAAAACTATCTACAAACTCACCCTGTTTCTCAGAGCTGGCTAGCACTTTAAGGCTTTGAAGTATCCTAAAACAAAACAAAGCAAAACTATGGGTAAGACAGTCAACAAATGTATTGCATGTGAGGTCGTCTTTTTGGTTTAATTTTATTTTTTTACCCTTATTAGAATTGGTTTCTCTTAAACCAAGCTTGGAAAGAACAGGCCCAGGGTTGGTCCTGATCCAAGAGGATGGGATTGGAAAAGTTGAAAGAAAGAAGAGTTGGCTCTTGGGTCTTGGGAGAGGAAGATGGAGGAGGGGAGGAGCTCATTAAGACCTGGGTTATATTGCCCAAGTTTACACCCAGCCCTACTTACCCACCTGACCTTTTGTAGCTGTGAGTTAAGCTCTACATTTCCTTCCTGAAAGCAACAACAAAAAAACACTTGTCAGAAATACTGGTTTTCGTTGCTGTCCATCCCTTGGTGGTGGCATGGAGGGGCCCGTGTCGCTGACACTTTGATCACAGGCAGGAACCATATGGTCCGTGGACGCAGGTCCAGATGCCTCCAGAGGCCTTGGAGTTTCCTGTCTAAAACCAGTTGTTCTCTGAACTGTCCAGCCCTGTGCTTTGGGCCAAGAGCTGCCCAGATGCCTGCTGGCAGCCAGCTGGTATGGCCTGTAAAGCAGGCCAGTAGTCAGGGTGTGAAGGCCTTGATTGATTTCCCATGGAGTTCTGTCTAGGAAGGTAGGAGGGAAAGCAACCAAGTAAGACAGCCTGTCCCACTGAAAATAGCAACACATTTCTGATGGTCCATGCCAGAAACACATGCTTTCATGCCCTCTGCTTGCAGCCGCCTACTTCCCAGAGTAGAATGTCTGTCGCTGCTGCTGCTGCTGCTGCTGCTGCTGCTGGCCTCGTTCCTTCGGATTTTAAGCATTGGAATACGTATAGTGCAGCGAGGCAGATAGTAATGACGTCGTTTACCACTAGGTCACTGTTTAGCTTGAAATCAATAAAGGCTGATAGACCCCCCCCCCCCCGTCCCGACCATTTAAAGAGTGCAGCCCTAGGGGTTAGGATCCCTGGGTTGCAAATCTGGCTCTAACAAAGGATGTGAGCCCCATCATTTAGCAACTCCCCAAGCCTCTGTGGACATCAGTGTCCTCATTCATTCATTGAAAAACATTAGCAGAGTAGAAACCACCAGCCACTCCGAGTGAGAAAGATGGGGCTTTCTGGTCCTTTAAACAGTTCCAATCTTGAAAAGTCACAGGGGAAGTTCCGCCTTGTCTGAAAGGGTCACTATGAGTCATCATCAACTTGATAGCTATGAGTTTGGTTTTTCGGTTTTGTATTAAAATATGCCACAGACAGACATACCCTGTCCTTGGTTCATTTTAATGGGTGTTTTAGCCTGGGTACATTAGAGAAACAAATCCACAGAAACATATATATAAGAGAGAGTTTTATATACAGGGTAAATGCACATCAAGAAAACATCCCAACCCAGTGCTGCCCAAGCCCACAAGTCCATTAGTCCATATGTTCAACACCAATCCACAAAGTCCTCCTCCATCTCACAAAACACACACTATGATGCTGACTGCAGGAGGAAAGCCAAATCAGTGAATGTGTAAGCATCTCAGGGGTCTCCACACGGCTACTCCAGCACCCAGGGCTGCATCGGGGTAGGTCCATGTGGCTTCTCCTCAGGGATGTCTTGCAGGAAGTGAGCCTTGCCAGCTGAAGCAGAGAACTGGCTAAGGCAGCTGCACCCTGGGCCGACCATCACAAAGCAAGAGACCCGAGAACTAGAAAGGCAGGGTTCACCGAGTCATTTATCTCTCTGCCCTTCAATTAACCCTCCATGTGTTTATCGGCCAGGGTGGCACAATAAACTTTAACTATCTCAATGGGTTGCGATGCTTTTTCTTGCTCCATCACCACTTCCCATCTTTTCTTTTCCAGCCTCTCCTCACTTCTCACCTATCTCACAAACTCTCCCCGACCCTCTTGCTGCTTTGGGGCTAGCCTGTGTTCATTTTTCAGCTGCTTTAAGATCCTGCAGGCCTACCTTGCTGTGTCATTTTCCCGCTTAAATCACATCACTTCCTCCCCAAATATTTACTAAGCACAGGCCCCAAGTGGTTAGCCTTCTTGGCCCATCAAGATATGGCCTCTTGCTTCCCATCATCCCTTCACAGGGGGTTGCATCACACAAAGTTACTGAAAGCTCCTGAGAGACATGCCCACCTATTCCCGCTGATTTTGCCTTTGGGGATGCTCGTCAATCTTTCTGAGCTCCCTTCTGCATTCCCCCACCCAAGGAGCTCCTAGCCACCCTCCCTCCAAGCTAGCAGCTGCCTCTGGGAAGCTACTCTTGACCTGCAAACTGCATCAGGTACTGCATTTGGCCATCACTGTCCACACCTCCACTATCGAGAACTCTTTGAAAGCAGATGTTTTGTTTTTGGGGGGGTTTTTTTTAGCGGGTGGGTTTTCACGGCCATGTTTGTGTTCCTAGACTAGTTCCCTAGCTGCCAGCCAGTCATGCAACTCCTGAAAGCCTGTGTGTGTCAGGGTAGAGCTGAGCTCCACAGGGTTCTCAGAGGCTGTTTTTTCTGCAAGCCTTTCTTCTGAGCCACCTCGGGGTGGACTTGATCGCCCAACCTTTCAAGTGGCAGCTGAGCACCATGAACCTTCCGCATCACCTAGGGGCGCCATCCTAACCCAAACCAAACGCATGGCCATCAGGTTGGTGTTGACCCATCAAGATCCTGTAGGACTAAGGAGAACTGCCTTACAGGCTTTCCATGGCTGGGAAATTTTACGGTAGCAGATTACCACATCGTTTCCCTCGGAGCAGCTGGTGGACTCGTACCTCTGATCTTTCAGTGACTGAATCATGTGGTTAAAGCTAGGTGCTTTTATCATAATGCCACCCGGGATCCTTTACGAGGGTACTTAGTAAATATTTGTTGGAAGAATGAGTGAATGCATGTATGGTTGGTTTCTAGTCAGACTGCTGTTCAGGGTGATCAGCGGCCAGATCCCAGGAAGTCTACTTTACCAGCTTGGGCTCTTTTGATTTAGCTTCACAGACAGCTTTCATCTGTGGGCCCTGGGACAGGAGCTTCTTCCTCTTCCTTTCAGTGAGAAAACTCTGTGAATCTATGAATGCAGCCACTGTATTTTCTTTTCTTTACGTTTCAAGGGTTCCTAAAATGAAGGGAAAATGTGCCACCTTTTCCTGCCTCCACCTACAGGGACTCCGGCTTTTCATCCTTTGGTGGAGTTATAGGCCTTGACTTGCTCAGGAATTTTTATTTTGTTTTTGTTTCGCTTTGCAAAAAAAAAAAATCAAAGGAATGATGTCAGAGAAGCTGGCAGCAAAAATAATTTCTCGCAGGGCCGTTCTTTCACTAAATAGATCTTTCACGGGCTGCCTGGGTCCTTCTGCTGCTGAACGAAGTATCCCGCGCCTGTGTTGGAAGAATGTCCGTCCTGCTCATGATCTGCCCCCAGACCCCAGGAGCTGGGGCTGTGCATTTGCTGCACCTGTCAGAATTGCTCTATCATTCCTTCCTCTGCACCTGAAAAGGTGACTGCATTCAAATCTCAGAAAGTGCGTGGCTCAGGAGGAAGAATATGCAAGACAAAAAGGATTTCGAAAAAATGACTCACATTGAAATCAAGTTCTGTACAGTGGGAGTTCGGTTAGGAATGCGTGTTTACTTGCTTTGTCTTATTTTAATGAGGAAAATATATTTTCTCCATCAGAAAAGGAGGCATTGATGGACAGATTTCTGAAGCCGCATTCTTTTTTAGGGAACAGTAAAATGTCCTAGGGACGTGTAGAGTCCCAGCTTCTTGTCTCATACTTGTGGCCTCACTTGGGGCAAGTTAGTTATCCTTTCACTGTCTTTCTTTCCTTATTTACAATGAAGTCGTGCCATCACAGCTCCTACGTCTATAGTTCGAGGCCTTGGCGGTGCAGAAGGAGCCCTGTGGATGTGGGGGTTTACGCCTTGGGCTGGTCACTGTAAGCTTAGCAGTTTGAATTAGCCAATTCATGGGATCAAGAAGAGGCTTTCGGCTTCCGTCAAGATTTACATCCTCAGCAACCCTTGGGGGCAGTTTCACTCTGCTCTTTCGGGTGACTGTGAGTCACAATTCACTCAATGGCAGTGGGCTCTGGGTGGTGCAAGCAGTGAGCTCGCTTGGCTGGTTCAAGCCCACCCAGAGGGGACTGGGAAGAAAGGTCGGTGGTCTACTCTGAAAAAGTAGCCAATGAAAGCCCCGTGGAGCCCGGTTCCTTTCCGATACACATGGGATCGCGACTCGGTAACTGGTAAGGCTGTAAGGAAGATAATCGAGAAATAAGTGACTTTGCTGAAAATTCTGAGAACACTGCTTGGGCGGTGAAGTGGTTAAAGGGATCACCTGCTAACCAAAAGGAAGGGGGTTCAAACCCACTGGCCACACCTCAGAAGACAGATGTGGCACCCGCCCTGCGTACAGAGTTATAACCTTGGGAGTCTCATGGGGCTGTTCTGTTCTGTCTCGAGTATAGGGAAATTGGATTTATCTGAATGGAATTGACTATTGTTTTAATGATCTAGAAGCTTAGTTTTTATGTCCAACCAAAAATAAAAGCCAAACTCACTGCCACCTAATGGGTTCTGGCTCACAGCTGCCACATACATAGGACTTATAAGAGCAGAGTCTGGTCTTTCTCCCTCGGAGCATCTGGTGGATTCGAACCACCAACCTTGTGTTTTTTGGCACCTCGCCTGATTCACTGTGCCCCAGGGCTCCTCGCCCAAGTATAAAAGGTTTCAAATATTTTTCTTCTTTCCCTTTGTTGAAAAATCAAAACAATGAAATGCAAATTGTGCTGTTATCCAGACTTGAAGTGAATTTCCTATTTATTTATTTGCATTTTCTTTTTCTTTTTAAAAATCATTTTATTGGGGGGCTTGAAGTGAATTTCAGTCACTCATTTGTCCATTTACCACCTGTGCCTTTTGATGCCTGGGGGCACAGTTCCTGGAGCTGTGGGTGTGTGTCAGCCCCCAGACCAGACACAGACCTGCCTTATGAAAGTCGCGTGCCAGGGATGCCACCGTCGTGAGGACCTCGTTTCTGGTTAAAGGCTGGTTCAACCCTCATTGACGTGCCCCCCCCCCCCCCACTTTGTATTTTTCACCCATCTCTGTCCCTTTGAGTTTGGTGACAGCTAACCAAGTTTGGGGGTGATACTGAGGTTGTTTGGGGGGGGGGTTGGGGGATGATACTGAGGTGGTTTGGGAACCTGTTGAGTTTGAAGGAGCAAAGCTTGACAGTGTGACAGATTCCATCAGCAAATGGCATTCACAATCTTTATTGTAGGGACTGTAAAAATCTTGTTCAATGAACTTATTCCATTGTCTCTGAGTTGAAGCAAAATAGGAAACCTTTCTGAAAACACATGTTTTGCATTAAAAGCATAACTTCACTGCAGAACTGATGAAAACAACTTTTCAATGACTAACAACAACAGCAAAAAGTAGAGTCCCTTGTGAGTCAAGGCATAGCTAAACTACATAACAAATAATAATTCAGCTGAGAATTCATGTAAATATGAACTCCCCGTGTTGACAGGGAAATCATTGACAGGGAGTTCTGTGTTATCATGCTGGAAGGAAAACAGTGTGATTGTGGGAGTTCATAAATCTCATCCTTTCTGTGAATTCTTGAGAGGTTGGGAGGAGATGTTTTCATTGAGGGATTCCTAAAATGATTGAAACAATGTGCCCATCATAAATTTGTGAGCTAAATTATAAAACATATGTATTCACTATCATTGAGTCCAAGTCCAACTCATAGCAACCCTATAGGCCAGAACAGAACAGCCTCTTTGGGTTTCCAGCGCTGTAAATCTCTAGAGCAGTGGTTCTCAACCAGTGGGTGGCGACCCCTTTGGGGGTCGAACGACCCTTTCACAGGGGTCACCTGATTCATAACAGTAGCAAAATCACAGTGATGAAATAGCAATGAAAATAATTTGGTGATTGGGGTGTCACCACAGCATGAGGACTGTAGTAAAGGGTCGCGGCATGAGGAAGGCTGAGAATCTCTGCTCTAGAGGAACAGAAAGCCTCGTCTTTCTTATAAGGAGCAGCTGGTGGTTTCAAACTGCTGACCTTGCCACTACCATGGAGTTGGTTCCAACTCATAGCGTACAGGGATTTCAACCCTATGTACAAGAGAATGTAACACCACCTGGTCCTGCATCATCCTCACAGTTGTTCTTGCCTTTGAGCCCGTTGTTGCATCACTGTGTCAATCATCAGTAGAGGCCAATAAGTAAAAGTAGCCCTTTATGTAGAAAACTGTGAATGGCCCAATAAGTAAAAATGTGTCTTATCAAGAGGCCTGGAGGGATAAGACATTGAAATGGCTGTTTCTGTAATAGAGTTCTATTTATTGTGTCGCTACTTGTTTTGTTGCTGATATTGTATACCCGTGTTGCTAAAGAATTACTTGGGCTAATTAAAATGGCTTAATTGAAAAAAAAAGTGATAGATTATCATTACATCCAGCTGAGTGATATAACACGTCATTTAACCATCTTTTAAATTTTACAGGGTGTCCCTGGATTAAAGGGAGAGAGAGGAGAACGAGTAAGTATCCTCTAGCTCCATTTCCTGGTTTCAAGCTGGTTCCACCTTGTCTGAGTCTCCTACAGGTTGACCACATCCTGCCATCCCATGGGTATTCGTTCCTATTGCATTCTTCCTTCTCTCCACGCCTTATCCCAACTCATTGGACTGTGAACATCTGTTCAACCAGAGGAAGCCCCGGGGGCTAGCGGTCAGAGGAGACCATTTCTAGTTACAGATGTGGTACCATGCAGCTAGGTGACCCTGAGCCCATTTCTCCAAGAATCAAACTTATCTAACGCCAGAGGGGACTTGACGAGGACACTACAGGAAGTCCCCAACGTGTAACATATTCGAATTATGACAAACCTCACGGGATTTTGTTGTACATCCCATCATTATTATACGCACAGCATACAAGGTTGTAGCATGCAATTTGCTAACATTATCACTCTCAGATGCTCACTTGCGTGGTTCAGCTTTATGATTTACTCTTCAAAGCATTGACCCGTCGCAGGCGATGTCTGGTCGACAGTGAAGTTGTTGGTGTCTGTGTCATGAGTTGCAATGGATAAAAATTTGGGCGATGTTCAGCCCTGACTGCATATGACTATTGAACTTCACACATGCTTCACAGCAACGATGAATTGAATTTCATTGTTAGACAACGCTGTAGACCAGGCCTGGCGTGTGATCTAAGCCAGCATTTCGTATCTTAAGAAACATCAGCTGTTAATTCAAAATGAGGTGTTCAATTTACACCAGACTCGATGTAGGACAGTCTTTGAAAGGGACCCTTATTGTAAGCTGGGGACTAGCGCTATGTAATGGGTATGAAAGCGCTTCTCCAAATGAGAGTTCTAGATCATGTCAGGTGTACAATCAGGCTTGTGTTTTAGTTCATGGATCCATATTGACTCCCCTCCAGGATGGCAAAGCAGAAAATTAGGAAAAAACTGGTCCCACAACTTAAATCAGTTCAATTTCAGAGGGTCCCCTCTCTTTCCATAAAAAGGTAATTGGTCTATGAGCTGTAGGAGAAAAGACGGCAGCTTTGCAATTTGAAGACCCCTCTCAGCTCGCCTCTGTGGAACCTTGGACAAGTTGTTGATCTCTGCTCAGCTGCAAAATGGGTTTCACAACTTTCCTCTGAGCTATTAATGTGATTAAATCATCTGCTTCAATCTTGAGAAAGTGCTGTATTTTATAAGCTCCAAAGAGCTATTAATGAGGCATTAAATATACGTGGGTTTCTTTCAAAAACGATTAAATCATTTCGAATCTGAGACCAGAAACACTTTTACTTGAGCTGCTTTAATTGAACAAAGCTTCTCGGAGCTTTTCAGTGCTCGGGACATATTGCTTCTTCTGGGCATGCGCCATAGTGGCCAGTGCTGTCTGTTAGGAGGAGCCCAGGAGCCCCGATAGGAACAACGGGTCCGTTGGATGCACTGCCTGGTGATTCTGGCGCTGTGGCTGAGTCAAGATTGTCCTTTGTCTCACCAGGGAGATCTGCAGTCTCAAGCCATGGTGAGGGCAGTGGCGCGCCAGGTGTGCGAACAGCTCATCCAGAGTAAGTGTGTCATAATCACGATGCTGTTTTCCATTTCTCTTCCTGTGTTAGGCCGGGTTGATTGAAGAAATAAATCCAGAGACATTCATAGGTGTAAGAAAGAGCTTTATATCAAGCAGTAATTGGATATCAAGAAACATCCCAGTCCAGTCCAGATCAAATCCTTAAGTCCATTCTACTCCATAAGAGCGATACTAGTCCATAAATCCCTCTTCAGACTCATGCAACACCTGCAATGATGCAAAATGCAGGGAGGTCACAGGCCAGTGGGTGCAGAGTCATGTGGATCCAGTGGTGGGTTCTTGCAGGTGTCAGCGTGCCTCCACGTGGCTTGTCAACAGGAAGGTGAAAGCAGAGAGGGGGAGGCCAGCCTCTAGAGAGCCCTTCATCTCCGTCTCCCTCCAATCAAGCTGCAACTTGATTGACAGGCTGAATTCCACCCACACGATCCTATGGAACCATGTTGGCATCAAAAAAAACCTATCACCCTTGCCTTAGTTCAATGACCCAGAAACCCCCATGATCTGTGTCTTGCTGTACACTCATAAGTTTTCTAGCGAGGCCTCCCGGATCTATGAGTAAGATCCTTTCAGACGATCCTGGCCTTCAATACCAATAGCTGCTGTTGACCATCAAGTTGATTCCAACCCATGGGTTCTCTACAGGACGCAGTAGACATTCCCCACAGGGTTTCCTAGACTAATTTTTCTGGGACCAAATTGCCAGGCCCTTTCTCCCACAGACCCACTAAATGGATTCCAATCACCCACCTTTTGGCCACAGCTGGCCACTTCACCATTACACCACCAGGGTTCCTGACATCAGTGGCACGGTGGTCAGGTTCTTCTTTGGCATTTATCCCAGAGCTGTCTTTTTTGCCCTTAAAGATATAAAGATAAAACTTGGTTACCCAGGTCAAATTCAGTGTTCTTTCCTCATCTCTCCAAATGGCTAGATTTCTCTCTCTCTTTTTCAAGTTCTCAGTTTCGCAAACTGCCAAACAATGCCGTCAGAAGCTGTCACCAAAGAGATGATTCATGGTGCCAATTTCCATGCACTCAGTTTGAATCACTCTATCCTGATCCATATGACATGCATTAGCCTTTTGGTAGCCTATGGTTTCCCCCTTTACTCTTTAGCCTTTCTGCCCATTGCATGTATGCGCGCATTGGGAGAGGCTTGATGTGACTTTGAGATGACGATGCCAAATGTTACTGGGACACACTTGGTAAGACACCTATCCTGCTTTAAAAAAAAAGTTAAACCTAGGCTTTTCCATAGCACAGTATTTCAAAGACGGAATCCCCGCCTGTTTATTTTTAGAAACACTCCTGTACAGTTCTTCCTGCTCCACTCACTATAGACTTGATCTTCATAATCTACCCATAGTGTTGCGAATGTAGGTCTTTCTCTTTGCCAGTAATCAGTGCAGATCTGAGAGCAAGTAGAGGTGAAATATCGTTCTCCAGCACACCCAACTCTGACCAAGCACTGCTGTCAAGCCCCTACCTCCTGGGTTAGCATAACTGGATCAATTCCCCTCCTTTAACCCAGAGCAGTTTGGCAATTCAGCCAGGAGGAGTGCTGCAAATGTCCAAGAAGGTCCTGTTTTCTGAGTCCAAACTCCCATCTTCAATTCTGAAATACACCCAGATCTCACGGTGCGGGAGACACAAAGGGGTGGGGTGGGGGTGGAGGACGTGACATGCAGGCATTAGAAGAGTCTTCCATGTGAACAAACACCTTAGGAAAACTGAACCCCAAACAAATATTCCTCCATGGGAGTCACATTCCCTACATCTTAACTCTGTATGATATCGCCCACATTGAATGTGTGTGAGAGAGAGGGAGGGAGAGCGAATCAGAGAGAACTCACCAGTTAAAGAAACCGGTTCAAATCCAATAAGTATAAAGGGGAAAAACAAACGCTGCTTTTGAGGAAGGTATGCATCCAAGCTCCTTACCTTGTATCTTCGGTTATTTGGTAGATTTCCCATTTTGAATATAGAAAGCAAATGCATTACGTTTATCTTTTTTTAAGTAAACCTAAGGGTTAAGTAGGACCCCTGATGGCAACCTGCTCCCCTCAAGGTCAGCAGTTTGAACTCCCCCAGCTCCTCCGCAGGAGAATGATGAGGCTGTAAGGGTTAAATGGTCATATGGCTCACTGACCACAGCTATGAGGAAGATCTCATAGTTTTTGCTGTCCTATTCCACCGTGGAGTAAAATTTTTCTATAAATATACAGTTATTAAAAACATGCCCTGGGGGAGAGGGAAAAAATGAGTGGATCCCAAGGGCTCAAGTAGAAAGCAAATGATGATGGCAATATATGTACAAAGGTGCTTGACACAAAGGATGAATGGATGGATTGTGACAAGAGCTGTAAAAGCCCCCAGTAAAATGATTTTTAAAAAGAAAAAAACTAAAATGTGAAGATTCAACAGAGAATGTTTCCCCGGAGCAATTTTAAAATTCTTGAGAATGAGTTCCAGGAGGGCCTTCGAGATGATAGCTGACCCTAGCATGTAACACAGAGAAGCCCTGCCCATGGACTGCTGATAGAAAGAGAGAGAGACTGGTGTAGGTAACTCTCTCACCAATTCCCAGCCTCCTCAGGCTGTCTTTCTGGCACCTCCATCACCTTCCCAAACACGAAGTCAGGGTCCTCTGGTGTCCTTCCCCTACCCCCTTCCCCCCCCCCTTATTCTAGATCTGTCTCTTGTTCTGGGGGTGACCTTATTTCCAGACCAGAAGGATAAGGGAGGGCATGTTTTCAATCTAACCGGTATGCCGGGCCTTCTTTATGACTGAGTTTCGCTCCGCATAGTTTTCTCCCACTCTGTACAGGACCATCTCGTGATCGTTTCCAGAGGAGCTGGTAGCAGTAGCTGGGTACCATCTAGTTCTCCCAGTCTCAGGGTCATGGAGACTGATGTCCCCATGACCCTTCTTCATTCGACTGATGTTTTCTGCACATCTTTCCATTTCACTCTTCTTCCCTCCAGACAGGGAGAGACCAAGAGTTGCACCCTAGATGACTGCTCACAGACTTTTAAGACTCCAAGCTGCTACGTAGCAAAGTCCACTATAGACTTTGTGGGCTCTATTATGTCAGTTGACCTTGGTGTACCCCTAGACTTGCTCCTTTGTGCCCCTTTGTCTTGCTCCCACTCAGAATGTGATGTCTCCGTCCCCAAGCGCAACAGATGCTTATTGTGCTCTGCTGCTCCTCAAAAGATTGTAGGTTCGAGTCGTCCCTGAAGTGCTTTGGGAGAACGACGTGGCTCTCTACTTCAGAGATATCAACCATTGGAAACCTGATGAAGACCCCCAAGACTATTGCCCCCAAATAGTCTTTAAGCCTTGAACCAAAAAATATCCCCCTGAAGTCTTCATAAAGCCAAAGGTAGTTTGGCTTACCCCGTGAAGAGCTGTCTGTCTGTCCTGAGCATTTTGCTCTTTTAAGACCTGTCTCCGTGGGGTCCAGCGGACAACAACCACTGGCACCATGACACAGGAAGCTGAGGGGACCGTCGCTTTCTGTCCACAGGGGAGGAAAGGACGGATGCTGGCACCACATGAGCAATAAGACTATGCCACTGACCCGTGCACTCTTGTGCTAGCGGTATGTTTTCTCAGCAACAGCAAACTAAATAAACGAATGGAAACGGAGCACAGAAAGCAGCACAAAGACAGCCCTCTGGCATGGGGCTCTCCTCTGATCCATCTGAGCCTGAGGGGAGGTGACTGCTTTTCTTGAGTGTGATTTCCAGCAAGCTCAGTCATCTGTTGTGAGCCCCAGATCATGCGAGGCACTAGACTAGGACAAAGTCCAGGGAAAGCTGCCTGAGACCCGTGCGCGTGATGACAGTTGGAGAGCTCAGCAAGGACAGCGCCCTGGTCTGGGGAAGAAGCCGCAAAGGCAGATGCGGACGTGCTTTACGGTGTGCAAACCAGCGTAGAGGGACCTAAAGAGGACTTGGGGGCCCTGGGGGACGATTCCTCGGTGACATTCACTGCTCTCTGCTTCAAGAAAGAATGTATCCAGTAGAGTTTTAAAATCAGTCCTCTGAAAATGGTTACTGATCTTTTATTGATGTTTGAGTGGTTCAAAGGGGATAGATAATAGCATCTAGACGATTTACTCTGTGGGGGAAATCTCTCGAAACTTGCTAGAGAAAATGGGATAGCAGAGAACCAAGTCGTTTTTAAGTCTGTACCTATCATTGTTGCAATGCCTTGTTTCAGGTTTGACTAAAGTAAGGGATTAGTAGAGAGAGCGCCGACTTTATGCATCTGTGTGTGTCTATATAACTATATACATGATAAAATAGAGGTAGATATCATCTATGATAAATATACAAAGAGGCGACACAATTTGGAGGTAAATGGAATGAAAATTTTTGACAAGCTTTTTCTGACACCCGCACCCCCGAATGTTACATAGACATAGATGGATAAAGCTGTGAGGAGATTCTGCAGCTGTGATCCAAGTCAAGTTTATTACAAAAAGGCTGAGCCGCCAAGAGGCAGCTTGAGACAGAACACTTGTCTGGGGATTTGCAACCCAGAAGGTGGGGCAAGCTTTGCGGGTTGGGGGAAAAGGCCAAGTAACTTGGGACAAAATTGCTAAAGGATGAAGCAGCTGGGCCTAGGCGTGGGGGCCCAATAAACGTTGGGGGTGGTGTTGAAGAGGAAGTCTATGGCTTCTGTTCAGTGGTGTTTACCGAGTAGCTGGTATGAGCTGTGGAATTGCAAACATGAGATGTGACTTGAATATCATCTAGACATCTTCCAAAAGTCAATGTCAAAGAAAACACATCAAGTTGAGCAGCCCCACCTTTCAGACGGAGGTGCTTTACCTCTCGGTGGGTCTGACAGGAGTGCTAGCTGCCATAACAAGTAACCCTCCTGGGCTTTCCTCCCTTGGGCTGAGCATGCAGTGAATGCTGTCTTTGTGCTGTTGTGTCTCAGGTCACATGGCCCGGTTCACCACCATCCTGAACCAGATCCCCAGCCAATCCTCCTCAATCCGGACCATCCAAGGGCCTCCTGGGGAACCTGGGAGACCAGGCACTCCTGGAACCCCTGGTGAACAAGGACCCCCCGGGACCCCAGGCTTCCCCGGGAATGCAGGCGAGCCTGGGACCCCAGGAGAACGAGGTAAGTCGAGTCATTCTCTACACTGGGACTTCTCTGAAGTGGTTACAGAGAAGCAGCGCCCAGCAATGGCATTTCTCCAATGAGAACCCATCCAAATGAATGCTAAGCCCTGGTAAAGGTAAGTTCGGGGGTTGAAATTCATCCAGCGGTTCTTCAGCAGAAAACACCCCATGATCTGCTCCTGTAAATATGACAGCCACGAAATTCGATGGCTCTGCCCTGTAAGGTCCTTATGAGTGGGATCCGATTGGATGCCACACACAGATCAATTCCAACCAATCTATTGATTTAGTTATTGCCGAGATGGGCAAAACTGAGTGATTTACAAAGATTTTATTTTGAATCAAGATCCTCGCCTGCTTGTATGAGTTAGGAGAGTTAGGACACCCCACCCCACCCCCAACTCCCCTATCAGGGGTCTTTGTATGAATGATTGATACTCATCCTCCATGATAAATGAATGAATGAAGTAAAGGTACTCCATCTACTGGGATAATTAGATGTCTATGCCTCCTTCTGGGCAGATGCAGCATCACTCCTGAGACTTGGCAGATATGAGAGCTGATGCCCTTTTTGTGCAGTGCTCAGACTGGGCAACAACCAGCAGACAACCCTGGGGAGATTATTTGGGCATGTTGACATATGGTTCGCATATGCCTGGGTAGACTGCACCAACACTAACTTCAAATGAAAAATGGTGTGTGACTCATCTTCCATTAACATGCGGCCCCGTCTTCTGTAATAGTTTCATGAGCCAAGATTGTGTCTTTCCCATGTGGGCACCTACAATCATAAAACCCCTTTGACTGCATTCTACTCCATTTCAATGATTGACCCAGATCGTCTGCTCCAGGAACAGATGAAAGAGAGGTGGGAAGTGGGACTTGTGTATTAGCCAAGGAAAAAAAACAATGAACAAGACAAAGAGACCGCTGTAAGATCAGTGTTCTCTACAATTTCATTTCTCAAGGGAGATTTGCAAAACACCCAAATGTTCCCTGTGGGTCTGGGAGTCATGTTGGTGAGACTTTGAGCTGGGAGATGTAAAGCAAAGATTAGAAAGGTAGCATTTCGTGTACATTCTTGGTGCATACCAGCAGGTCTTGTGCCAGTGCTGCCTCTGAACTGTCGTGCCCAGGGCTCTTCCCTCTTTGGAAATGCCCTCTGTGTTCCCTGTCTTCATACACCTTCCCCTTCCGGTCTCCCTCCTGTCTCCTGCATGGAGCCTTTGCTTGATCACCCAGGGCACACATGCCTCCACTCCCTGAAGATGGGATCCACTCCTGGTTGACACCAGCCATGTTCTAGGAGACAACTGAATTACCTAGAGGAAGGACTGGGTCTGAAATGTGTTGCATGAGGCTTTATACCTGGTATTACTTACTCAATAGTTACTGCTTTGATTGTGACCCAGTTCTGATGTTTTTTTCTAAGGGGCCAGCATGCAAAAGCAGCAGATGGTGTAAAGGGTATAATTCCCTTGAAACGCACCAGTGCTCTGCCAGGCAGGGCGGTAGCCCCCTCTGCCAGCAGGGCACCTTATTGTAATGGTGTTAGTAATGGATAAACTGTGACTCAGGGAGCCCAGAGCCAGCGGCTGAGTCACTGTGGACAAGTCACAAGTTATCCTTGTTGTCTTGGGAGGTCCTGGCCCTTTTCTTGCCAGCTTGGGCCTATCCGGTTCTGCCAGACTCTTGAGTGATTAGACCAGAGGAAAATGAGCCAGGACAACCCTTGGAAATTCTAGACAACTACAGTCCTGGATTTCTCAAAGTCAGAAGAAGACAGAGTAAGAAATGCCTTCTGAGCATGGGCAAAGGTGATTCCAGTGGATCATGCTTGAGCGGTGAGGCTTTGGGGTCACTGTTGCTGTGACTGGGTGTTGTGGAGGCCATTCCAACCCCTAGCCATCCCCGTTCGCAGAGCAGCATCGCTCCAGAGGGGGTTCTAGACCATAATCCTTACAGAACCAGATCACCTCCTCTGCCTACTGTGCAACCTCTGGGTTGGTTGCAATGGCCAACTTTGAGGTTAGCAGCTGAGAGCACTTAAGCAGTGTACCACCAGGGAGCCTTTTGAGTTTTCTAGAATAGAGTTCATTGTATAGCACCCAAGAAACACCACTGTTTCTCTTTTATTTCTTTAACTGTGACCATGGAGAGCTGGCTCGTCTAACCTTAACCCTCCTTGAATCATGACCTTGTGTGTTTCCCACTATATATCCTAGCTAACATATTCAAATCTAATTCTGATCTCCGGGTCACAGTTCCAGATGATTGACTTGCTTATTTCCTTGTTCTGTTTAGTTCAATTTTCATTGATCAGACTGGTGTTTTGAACCATCTATTAAACCAGTCAGCCTCAAGTTGGCTGGTCAATAGTTCACTAAATTCAATTTCTTTTGTTTACTTAAAAGGAAGAGAAACGATACCCAATTTTCATCTTCAAGCAGTTCCTTTTCCAAGATTCCTTAGAAATTTTTGGATCAGAGAAACCATCCAAATAATTTTTATGTGTAGGTTGTATATCTGGGATTCCTATTTGGTTATTTTGTATAATAAATCAGCAAATATTTACTGAATTCAGGGTTGATGTAAGACTTTTGGCTTGGCAGTATGTGAGATAATACTATTATTTATGGCTTTCACTTATTAGGCACCAAATGTAGCTGCCAGTTATGGAGTGCAGCACTATCCACGCAGTCTCATTCGGGTAAAATAGAAAATGTGGTTTGGATAAGGAAGGAATCAGCAACAGAATGTACACTGAATGCTAATGGACTTGTATAGAAAATAAATGCAGTTGTGGTGGACAGGAAGATCTCATTGCGGCCCTCGGTGAGGAAGGGGGTCATCATTTGTGCAGCTCTGTCAAAGTGCTGGACGACTGTCCACAAGATCAAACCCATCACCTGCCTCCTGGAGGAAGACGAAGCTGTCTGCTCCTGCGCAGGTTTACCGCCTCGGAAACCCTGCAGTCATTGTTAGTCAGAGTCAACAAGATGCAGTGGACATTTTTAAAAGTGTAAATTATGAGGCATTGGTGCTTTTGGTGGTAGAAGTTTCCCTGTCCCATGCCAGAGACCCAGGTTTGAATCCTGACCAGGGCATCTCTATCAGTGGAGGCTTGTGTATGATACTGAGCAGAGCTCAGCTGAGCTTCCAGACTCAGATGGTCAAGAAAGACAGATTTGGCCATCTTCTTCTGGAAATGGATCATAGAAGTCCTGCCCTCGGATGATCATGGGGATGTACACATTCCAGGGTACATGGGGATGCCCGAAACGGAGGCCCACACCACAACTGCTACCAACAACAAACTGTAAAGAAGGACAACATTTGAAAATCAAGTGTTTGGCAACACGATACTTGTCATTGGTCTCATTAGATAAAACACATGAAGAATGTTGAATTGGTCAGTAGGGGTTTTACCTTTAGATTTTAAAAAAATTTGTTTTTATTGAGAATATACACAAAGCCACACACCAATTCGCCAAGTTCTATACATACCATCCAGTGACATTGTATGTGTATATTTTATTCTTACAACAATTTAAATTAAGGAAAAAAAGGAATCCTTTTCCTCAGGTTCTGTGGCTGCCTTGGGAACGAAGTTTGTTTCAGAACATGAGAAAAGGAGGAGGGGGATAGATGAGGGCGATGGAGCCAGACTGGCTCTTCCAGCAAAGCCACGTCGAGAAGGGAGCCGGGATCTTCGTATCAACGGCAGAAGGGATGCATCAGGTTCCTAAGACGGCCACCCCTTTCTGCGTGTCGGCGTGATTGGTAGGCTGGAACCGCTGGCCTCTCAGTCAGTAGCCCTGCGCCTAACCCACTGTGTCACTAGGGCTCTTTAGAGAAGAAATCAGCCCTTGCTCTAATCTCTAATAATCATCAAGGACAACTCCTGTACTACTATAGTTTGTACTGTGTGTGTGTGTGTATGTATGTTTTGTACTAGAGTTGACATTCAATTGCTTCTTACTGCTGTGAAAAAAATCAGCTAAAGATTTTAGAAGTGGCCACCAGGTCAGGGGATGCTGTTATACACTGAGGCTAACCCGACGTGCCCAGGTCACTTGCTAGACTGTCGATCAGCAGGGCTGAAAAACTCAGTGAGAAGACTGAGCCTCAGAGGGACTCAAAGTTGTGAGAGAGAAGTAGCTTCTTGTGTACAATATTTCTGGGGCTGAAAAGCAGTGTGGAGCTGCAGATAAATTTGGCACAAAACTGTAGTTGTACATTCAGAAGAAACGCAGAGCCAAGATTCACCCCGTTCAGAATGATGGTCACTTCCATGACATTTTTAGTGCACCTAGTGATCGGGCTTCTTCCTGTAAAAACGACCTCTCGTTAATTTTTAAAATCAACTTGCTTGTAGATCGAGGGCCAGTGGAGCTTTGGGTATCATTTCCTGACTAGCAGTAAAATATCTACATCTTTTCCATGAATTTCTGTACTAGGGTTGACGTTCAATTACGTGAGAGCTGTGGCCTCCTTGTTCACTGCTGGGGGAAATCTGCTGAAGTATATGTGTGCCTTCTTCCTTCTTCACACCCCCCTATCCCATCTCTGGTCTCCTGAAGGATGTTTCACTCCAGACGAATAACGGTTCCTCTTTTCCTTTCCAAAACATCTTTGACAGAGTTTACTCTGGAGGTCCATCAGAACAAGACCTTTTTCCAAAGATTTGATGGCTGGAGTTTTCCAAACACACATAACCTTAAGGCATTGGCAGTGGATGCCTTTTATTAGTTCCCTTTTGAATCATCTTTGTTCTTTTTTTTATTGTAGAGTGACTTGTTATGTTGATCATGGCAAAGAAAAGCTTATGTGAGTAAAATTAGATTTGAACTTAGCAGCTTAAAACAATACACACGTTGCTGTTAAAGCCATTGAGTTGGTTCTGGACCAGGGGGCCCTGTGGGCTGCAGAAGGAAACCCTGCCCGGTCCTGCATCATCCTCACCATTGTTCCTGTGCCTGAGCCCACTGTGGCAAC